AGGAGCAGTTGTGTCTCACTGCCAAGAAAAACCCTAAACCATTTAAATGCCATATTCCTGTAAGTCTTTGAAAGGTTTGAAGAATACCTAACCATCTCAAATTCATCTCTATATCTAGAAAACCTAACTAACCTAATTATAAGTTCTGACTATTATAGGTAAAAGATCTGTATAAACACAATACCTAAACAAGAGGAGACATATACATATCACAAAATTGACCTTAAAGTTGTATCAATAAATGAAAATCTATACCAATGCAAAGTATTCATTCCTATATCCTATTTCCCTTTTCTTTCTTTAAAAAGAGATTGACTCTGCTCATTATCATTTATAACTAACCCCATTTAAATGAAAACAAACATTTATAAACAATATTTGGGAATATGGGCGTTGTAGGGAGTCACCCTAGCCCCGCCCAATAGTCCTGGGGCAGGTACCAGGTGGACCCGGGGACTCGCCCATAAGGGCGTGGTGAAGGAAAGCCGGGATGACGTAAGGGAGCTTCTTAAGGGGCTGCACGTGGGGACGCGGGCCCCTTTGTTCTGGCCGCGCTGGCTGGGTTCTTAATCTAGCTCTGGCCTGTGTTTCACCCTGCTGTCCTCTGAAATAAAGAGACCTTAATCCAATAGGGCGTCGTTCTTTTTAAACTGTTTCCTGCTGATTGGGACGATGTTCATACACAATAGGGATCATGATAAAACATAGAAACCTGACCAAGTCCTTGTTTCTGTAGTCTGTAAGGCTGTATCGTCTCAGCTTTAGGGGGTCTTGCTTGATTATACCATATTAGTCTGGAAGGAATCCACAGCTCTTCATTTTTTGTGGAAATACAAGCAAAACCTTTATTTCTAAGTAGCCTGTCCTTAAACTTAAATTTTGAAGTTAGAGCATTGTTTAAATGTATAAGTTGGATTAATTTAGCAGTATTTATAATCAAAAGTATTTTAGCAGTAGTAATTCTTTCCTCGGCAATCAAACAATTTAAAGACAACAGTATGGCATTTAGTATCTAGATTCTCTGTGCATTTTTCTTCTCTAGGTGGCTTTTTTTACTATTTTACTTTTATTTCCTTTTGTTTCTTTTTTCCCCGAGACAGGGTTTCTCTGTGGATATCTGCCTGCCTCTGCTTCCTTTAGCAAATCCTACCGGCGTTGGCCACCACAACCGGCTACTGTATTTCCTCCTGTTACTTTTTCTCTCACAAGCCTGCATATATTTTTAAATGTAGTGTAAACTTTTAGAGTTTTTTTTTTATCTGGATCTGTCTTTATCATCTTGGGAGTGCTGAGTCTAAACCCCAGAAGCACCGGGATGGCGCGAGCATGAGGAAGCTGCTCCCATGCCACTCAGCGGCCCGACAGGGCAGGCTGTGGCAGCAGGTTTACCTACACATTCTCAGGGTTCCAATAGGCTACTGCTCTTAACTCTGAAAAAGCTGATTCTGTTATTACACACCTGCTAGAGGTGATGGCAATTATGGGTATACCTGCACAAATAAAAACTGACAATGCTCAGGCATATGTGGAACAGTTTTTGGAATATTATGACATAAAGCATGTCACCGGTATACCACACAATCCTACCGGACAAGCATTGTTTGTGAGATCTAATAGGACACTAAAGGAGATGCTCAATAGACAGGCTTGGAAGTCTAAACCCCCCAAACTTAGGTTGCATAATGCTTTATTAACATTAAACCTTCTTATTGCCAATGAAAAAGGACAAACAGCTGCAGAAAGACACTGGACTCGGAAAAAAACTGCTGAACTCAATCAGCAGGTATACTTCAAAGATGTACTAACCCCTGTATGGAAACCAGGACATGTGTTACATTGGGGTAGGGGTTTTTCATTGGTTTATACAGGAGAAGAAAAACTTTGGATACCATCAAAGTTGATCAAGATTCGAGTAAAAAAGGAAAAACCTCTCGACGAGGACAAATGACAGGTATTCTACTAAGGTATATCTTATAAACTAAATAGA